GAAGGAAAAACCCCAGTATTTAATGAAAAATTTACTATGTGGGTAAGTACTGGTAAGACATAATCGAGGATGAGATTGATCATTATTCTGCTCACATCATCAGAGCCTACTGCGGCGGACTTGATGGAAGAAATTGACTTTTTTATATCCTCATCAGTAACGGGAGAAAAATTGAAAGAGCTTTTGTAAAATTTTGGAAGAGAATTAACATGAACAATAGTAGTAGATTTAATTGACGAATGCAGCTGTGATGCAGTAGAAAAGTATGTATTAAGTTGATTAACAGCGAAGATTGAAGGATCAAAGTTAGAAGCAGGTTTACCTATCCCGATTGATTTTAAAATTTCCACGAATCAGCCATAGAAGCGTTAAGGATATTTCGATGAACATAACGGCGTTTAGCGGCCCGCACCATCTGATTACACCGATTCCTAGCGGCTTTGAATCGAGTCCAGTTAACAGTACACCGATTACTCTTATATTTACTAAATTCTCGATCACGCTTTGCCATAGCCCTGCGGATATCCTCAGTAATCCACGGCGCAGGAGATGGTTTCAGTCTGACTTTGTGTGGAGGAGCGTGTTTATCAAACAACTTCTGTATATTTGAATTAAAAAGAGCTACTTTTTCGTCAACACTCTCTACGCTGTAAGTATCACTCCAATGTATACTACAAGCACCTTGCTGAAGTTCTTCAACATTAAGTCTCGCTAGATTACGCAGATGCACCATCACATGATTGACCTTAGGACATTTAATCTTATAAGAAATATACAGTAAATCGTGCCGCGAAAACCCAGGGGCGGAGAGTTGACCGTGGCCAACGACATGGTCTTCAGAAGCGACCACTATTTAATCTATTAAAGAATCAGCAGTATCAAGATTGTGGTGTGTGGGGTCGAGAGGAAGAAGTGACAAATTAAAGGAGTTCATAACTGTATACAATTCACGTGACCTCGCAGAGTTACAGAGAATATCGGTATTGAAGTCTCCCATTATAATAAAGTGCTGATAATCAGAGCCGATAGAAAAAAAGAGCCGATTCAAGGTCACAAAAATAATTAACTCCTGGTGGACAGTAAATTGCACCGAGAACAGTCTTAGTCCCACTGATGGTAATCTCCAAGAACATGTATTCTATTGGACCAGAATAAACAGAAGAAGAAGCACATAATTGTTTATAGGGTATACCATTACGTAAGTACACCGCTACACCCCCCACCTCTTTTGCCCATACGATCATTTCTTAAGAGGACAAAACCAGATATTCCAAAGGAGGTGGACGGTAAGGTAGGTTTTAACCAGCTTTCCGAAACAAGTATCGCAGAAATAGACTGATTATGAAAAGTATCAACAAGTTCATTATAATGTTGCGGAATGCTCTGAGCCTTAATGTAACAAACGTTAAAGTGATTAGTCAAACCATGAAACTTTTGAGTAAGCAGATAACGAAGAGTAGCAGGTTCCGAAAAAGAGTCATTTAGTAAAAAAAAGAAGAATCTGAATCAACAGAGAGAAATAGTTCACTGGTATCAGAATCTGTCATAATATATGATTATACTTATGATATATGTATATATATATATATATATATATATATATATATATATATATATATATATAGTCTATAAAAATAGAAGAAAAAAAAACCCTATTAACTGATAATTGCACTGCAAACAAACGCGCCGGTAAACTGTTTACAAAAACAAAAATTAAAATATTACACGAAAACAACTAGTAATACTTACTACAAGAAAGTATCTAATTTTAATTATTTACAATTGCAGAGACAACAAAAATCATACGTATTGAAAAAAAAACATATGTTAATCACTACGAGAGTGGTAATTTAAACGAAAAAAAAATACTCTAAAGCGTAATTTCACGAAATTTAAGGTTCAGATTACTCTGTACTATTACTTGTGTCGCAAACCAGCCTAGTAACCGGTTGCGGAGAACAAAAGAATCGAATACAAAAGCGCTCAGTGACGTACACAGTACACACAGCAGTAATAGTAATTAATAAGCCGTCGAAGTGTAAACAAAGTATTACCACTAACCCGAGAATGTTTACTTATTTCTGAATGCTCGTCGGGTTCTTGGCTGCTCGCTACGGGAAACTACACTACTATGTAGTTCCTGCCTTCACTTGTTCCGGCTCCTCGTTGCACCCAGCTTTATGAAGATCGCGCAGTAGTGCATCCAGGTCATTAGCGCTAAAGAGTTGACGTACGAGACCCGTCAGGCATCTAACGCTTATGTTGCCCTCGAATGACCAGACTTTTTTAATTCCAAAATGCTACGGGCTTGAAGAAATAAGTCTTGCCTGTATTTTGTAAGGAATTCCGATAATTTAAACGAGGTGCCTTTTAACATTGTTTTTTTAAACCAAACAGTTGAGTGCAGTGACATCTGTGAAGCGCATTAATATAGGACGAGTATGGTGTAATTTGACCGGGCCAAGTCTGTATGCTGCTCGAAGACAAGATGGTGCTATATCTTTAAGACCTAGATTTTCGTGAAAAATTTTGATCACGACATCGGATAAATCTTCGCCTGGTTTTTCAGGGACACCGCCCATTAAAAGGAATTTCCTGCGATGCCTTGTTTCTATAATGTCAAGCGAGCGACTGACTTCTGCAATTTGCTGGCGAAGAAGGTTAAACATATCCTTGACGTAACTCTGAAAAGCGGTATAGTCCTCGCTGATCCTGTCTACATTGCTACTCTTGGAAGCGCTGGAGTTGAGTTTTGATTCAAAATCTGCCATTTTACGAGTGATGAGCGCTTCCAAAGACTCCTGACTTCTGGAAATATCGGCAATTGTGGACATAGTGACGTATGTAGTAACAAATGTTCGTGTGCAAAAAAACTTGGTTCCAGCAGTTTGTGCAGTGCTAAAAAAAACTAGTGCATAAGAAGGTAAACCTTTACGCGATGATACTTAATACTGTATTATATAGAAAAATAATAAAGGTATGGTAAATTACTTCTTTTTTAAAATAAATACGTTTTACGAAACGAAACACGTCTGCACTTATTTACACCCACCCGCGGAATCAGTCAGATCAACAGTAATGGCAAACAGTCTAAAATAAACATATTTCTAAATACAAACTACTCACTCATACAAATTTTTACTTAATTTCAAATGGAAGATACATCGACTAAACCTATCTTAGCTTGAATTTCTCACACGAGTCCCATCACTACTGTGCATTTTATGCGCACGCTTCGAGCATTTCAAGTCGCATGCGGAGTGATCCGTCATTTGTCGTTTTTCTTTTATAGAATAGGGGGCAAACGAACATGCGGCTCACCTGACGGTAAGTGACTACCGCCGCTCAAGATAAATTGCAACACCAGGGGAATTGCAGGTGCGTTGCCGTTCTTTTATAAAAGAGTAAGCTCTTTTCTTGAAGGTCATATCGGTCCCGAAAAATCGCTGATGGTAAACGATTCCACAGAGGGGTCGTACGAGGACGAAAACTCCTAGTAAAATGTACGGTGGCGGACCGCCAAGCATCCAGATGGTGTGGATGGTATCGTGAGTTTTGTCGCGATGTGAGTTCATTAAATATGGAGGCTGGAATTAATCTGAACAATTCCTCAGAGCACTCCCCGTGGTAGATACGATAGAAAATGCAAAGAAATACAACATTTCTTCGCAGCGCCAGTGAATCGAGCCGAAGCGGAGAGGACTCGGTCGTCGACAATACAAGCCTATCTGCGCTGGATGCGATCAAGTGGAAGGAGCTGGCACTGAAGAGCCCCAGCCCAGAGATGGGAATAGTATTCCATGTATGGCTGTAGAGTTGCAGACGATGAGCCGGCATGAAATACTTTCCCGCTCTGCTGAGCACGCCAAGCAGATTTTTCGAACGAATACAAAGGAGCAGGCAGTATGCTCAGAGCGTTCTCTGTCCACCACTACATTGCATGTTACCTTTCAATAGTCTGTAAGCAGCTTAACAAAAGTTAAGCTTCTAATAAATTATCTAAACGCATGCAGTGGCTTAGGGTTGCGTGGTTGCGTTGCGAGAGTACTGGTTTTAATCACGCACGAAACAAGTGTTTATATGGCCTACAAACATACAAATATTAAGAAAACATTGTTGAATTATGAATTTCATTCTAATCGAATCTACTTTGTATGTTTTTTATTGTGTTGTAAACAATTATTTCCCATCAAAATCTTCATTTTAACCAAAGTCCAGAGTTTTTTTTTTGTTTTGCCTGGCATCGATAATTTAGGTGATGGCAAGAGACTACCGCTACCTATAAACCTCTGTATTGGCGGGAACTTGACCGTCAACGGATTTTTGCTCCTGTTTTATCGTTTAAATAATGGTTTGAAGTAGTTTTTGATACGTAAAAGTGATGTGATTTTGTAGATTGTCTGCATATGTGAACTATTAAAGAAAATGACGAAACAAGTGCTTCGATGTTAAAATAAATCTCAAGTTATTTTGATCGCTTAGGTGCCTTATGAACTTGGGTAACTATCACCATCGACTGTCCACTGTGGTCCGCTGGGTTGAGCTGTTGTCAAAATCTTCCAAAGACTGCAATGTACCAATCAGCATATAGTGAAAAAAAAATCTTTAAAAACGAAGATCCCGAATGAAATGAAGGTATGCTTAAAGGACAAGCATCCAAGCCAAAACTCTTAATAAAAAATAATTCTTTAGTAGCAATTTGACACTGACATTTGACAATTGTTCATGGATCAAATTGATCAAATTGACTGTGTACTATACTGTGTATTCTAGTTTTCTTTTTCTCGGGCTTAGAAAATAAAACACAAATAAAAATCATGTCATTTCGGAATGACTTAAAACAGTTACTCAAACCTTATTACTGGATTAATATCCTACTCGGCATTTCCTACGTTACGTGTAAAAGGATAGCTTTAATTTGCAATTTCTTGTTTCCCGATGCCGACTGCGAGTTGGATAGTCGCGAGACGGAAATCCTGTTTTTCTTAATAATTGTGGTGATGTTAAGGACTCGGAAAGCGGGCAGTGTAACTATGGTCAATTACCTGTCTGCTTCTTTCGTTTATACGAAAATTGCTAATCTGATACTTTGGTTGTATGCAGATGTAAGGCAAGTATTAAAGGTTTTGTCACATTTTTTTTTAAATTTTCTGATTTTATTATTGTTTAGAATCCATCACATCGTTCATTTACGTGGCTATTGTATTTATCACAGACAACTATGAAAAAATTCATTTGAATGTGGTAGAGCCATGCTGCAGTGATATTATAGACACTCCACACACAGAATACCAGGGTAAATAGCAGCTGCTAATGCTGCTGCTTCATATGGTGGGCCTGGAAATACTTTTAAGTGGAAATGAGGCATTCCATCATAGTACTCAGGGGTGACAATGCATCTGATTATTGATTCCTAATTATAAAATAAGCATTTATGACTGGTAGAAGTAGAAATAACTTTCAATAAATTATTATGTAATCTATATTGAATAAATAATATTCTATTCTATTCTATGAAAACGAGAGATGTAGATATCTATAGGCCTCAGTATCCACTTACCATCAGGTGGACTGTGTGCTTGTATTTCACATCTATCCTTTTTAATTTGCATTTGATTTGGATTAACTAAAATATAACACCACCACACATTCACTAGCTTATTTGCAAATTATATTATATATATTAGTAGTATTGTAGCACAAATGGGTTGGCTCGACCGGTGAAGGACCACACTCTCACAGTGTTGTTGTGTTTCGTATGGTGAGTGTAGAGAACCGGAGACCCTTTTTACTGGAAACAAGGCATTCCATCTTAGTCCGCACGGGTGACAATGCATCTGCATTTTGATTTGTACTAGAGGATAGATGTAAATGTCTGTGGTCCGCAGCAACAGCTTACCATCAAGTGGACTGTGTGCTCGTTTCTCCCCCTATTATATAAAAAAAAAATTATTTGTTTTATTTCTTAACTTTTAATAAATTTCTAAATTAATTTAGGTATGGACTTCCATATGGTGCTATCCTCATTCTGGTTGCCCTGCTTCTCCCAGAACCAACATATACCGGTCCAGAACATGTCACATATTTCCGTGGTCTCCAGACCTTAGAAGACGAATTGAAACGTCACAAGAACATTATGTGGATCCTATGCCTGTATGCTGCTTGGCATCCTGCCTGTGTGACCTTTGCGCCTGTGTTTGCGGAGCTGTCTGCTAGTTACGGATTGGATAATTTGAAGTTTGGAAAAATTGATGTTGGCAGGTGAGTATTATGCAAATGTTTGATAACGAGCTAGCCATTCACTATTTTAGCCTGGTGAAATTGTAAATTGATAATTTATTCTATTAGTTTTACGATACTTTACATACATATACATAAATACTTGTGCCTGTCACTTAGAGGGGCAGGCAGAGACTCCAGACTTCCATTTGGCATGATACTGACACACCTCTCGCTACCTCCACATTTATATACCTATACATACATGTTCGTCGGTTAAGGGTACTCCTAATTTGGCCCATTTTCAATATATCACCATATGATACTTATATATAATAAATATATAATATATATGATACTTTAAATGTGGACAATTAGGATGCTTTGGACTATCGGGACTTTGTCACCCCTGAGGACTAAGATGGAAAACCTCGTAGCTTGAAATTATACTGGCTCCCTATACTTTTCAAATAGAACTCGGCAGTGCAAGCTACTATTAAGTGACAGAAATAAGTAGGAGGGTGGTACTTAAACTAAACAGACTCCCAAACAGGAGAAGAGTTCTAACACCTTGTGAGTGTCTCTCTTTTGTCGGCCTTTTCTATAATTGCTTAGTTTAGGACGGGCTGTTATCTGCAACTGCTCGTCTAAGAGCGTATTTTGCATGTGGACAGGAATAATGTGATTATTGGAGCCATGAAATCTTCGTGCCGAGATGTTTAGCCCTGTTTGCAGTGACCTCCGGACATGTCAGCAACACATGAGCCGCCGTTTCTTCCTCCCCCATGCATGCTCTGCACACGGGACTTTCTGTAACACCTATGTAAATAAATGTTTGTTAAAGGACCGTTTTCAGTGCCTACAAGATTGCAATGCAGTGGACGATATGAATGACAAGCTCGTGGAAACTGTCCATGCGGTCGGAGCTAAGTTCTGCAAGACCCACCGCAGAAGAACACAAAAACTCTCCGATCACACTCTTAATCTCATTGCTGTTAGACGGGAGATGAGGCTGCAATCGTCAACAGATTTGACAGCATACAGGCAACTGAACAGACAGATCTCCAAATGCATGCGGCGAGACTTACGCAACTTTAATACTGCTCGTATTAAAGAAGCGATCGAAGCGGAACCAGGGCTCCAAAGTCTTGCCAGAGATCTGTCTGCCAGTAAGAGCCAACTGTCAAAGCTGAAGACTAAGTGTGGCAGCATCGTAAAAAAAGTATGGGCACGTACCACATAGCCAGACAAAACCCCCCCGGACGTCAGTCTAAGCGAGATTAGAATGGCTCTCCAGCACCTTAAAAACGGCAGGGCCCCAGGCGAGGATGTAATTACAGCGGAGCTTCTGAAAGCGGGTGGAACACCGGTACTTGAAGTCCTTCAGAAGCTCTTCAATTCCGTCCTCCATGGTGGCACTACTCCAGAGGCGTGGAGCAGAAGTGCGGTGGTCTTGTTCTTTAAGAAAGGCGACAACGCTCTCTTGAAGAACTGCTGTTTTCGAGAGTCATTACGAATCGTCTCGCACGCAGACTCGACGACTTCCAGCCTCCCGAACAAGCCGGTTTCCGAAAAGGCTTCAGTACCATAGACCACATACATACCTTGCGGCAGATTGTACAAAAGACTGAAGAGTACAATCTGCCACTTTGCCTGGCATATGTGAACTATGAGAAAGCCTTTGATTCCGTCGAAATTTGGGCGGTGCTACAGTCCCTTCAGCGGTGCCAAGTTGACTGTCGGTATATCGAAGTGCTGAAGTGTTTGTACAGTAGGGCTACGATGGCTTCCGAGTACAGAACCAGAGCTCGAAACCTATCCAACTGCAGAGAGGTGTAAGACAGGGTGACGTTATATCCCCGAAACTCTTGACCGCTGAATTGGAAGACGTTTTCAAGCTACTGGACTGGAAAGGATACGGTATTAACATCAATGGCGAGTACATCACTCACCTTCGATTTGCCGACGATATAGTCCTTATGGCAGAATCGCTGGAGGACTTAAGCACTATGCGCAATGACCTCAATAGTGCCTCCCAACGGATAGGTCTTAAGATGAACATGGACAAAACAAAGATTATGTTTAATGTCCATGTCACACCTATGCCGGTAGTTGTTGGGAGCACTATGCTCGAAGTTGTTGACGAGTACGTTTACCTGGGACAAATAGTCCGACTAGGCAAGTCCAACTTCGACCGAGAGGTCAATCGACGGATTCAACTCGGCTGGGCAGCGTTCGGGAAATTACGACATATCTTCTCGTCAGGTATACCTCAATCTCTAAAAACTAGATTGTACAACCAGTGCGTGCTGCTAGTGATGACTTACGGATCTGAGACGTAGTCCTTCACTGCTGGCCGTATGAGGACGCTCAAGGTCGCTCAGCGAGCTATGGAGAGGGCTATGCTCGGAGTTTCTCTGCGTGATAGACTCAGAAATGAGGATATCCGCAGTAAAACCAGAGTGACCGACATAGCCCAACGGATTAGTAAGCTGAAGTGGCAATGGGCCGGCCATATAGCTCGAAGAACCAATAACCGATGGGGAAGAAAGGTTCTCGAGTGGCAGCCTCGTACCGGTAGGCGTAGTGTAGGGCGACCCCCCACTAGATGGAGTGACGACCTGGTAAGATATGCAGGAAGTCAATGGATGCAGGTGGCTCAGGACCGTGCTTTGTGGCATTACTTGGGGGAGGCCTATGTTCAGCAGTAGACTTGTGAAGGGCTGTAATGATGATGATGAAAGGAGCCATGTCCTGTGATAGCACTTGTTACTATCCTGATCTGTGGCTTGTTTAGTCTCATTAAACCCTTTGTTAGATGACTGTTATTTCAGGCAGGGCATCCCTAGCTTGTCTATAAAATAAAACTATAAAATTTTTCCAAAGCTGAGCGTGTAAATTATTGAAGTTTCTATGTACCAGTGAATGAGCGTAACCAAATACACATTGGTATTATTGGTTCCGTTTCTATAGTGGCCAGAGCTGATCACCTTCTGGCCAGTTCAACTGCTGCATCGTTGCTTCTAGATCTATAGTTGCTTATTCGGCAATCCAAAATTGTCAAGATGAAGTGGAGTCTCGTATGCTGGACACTGCAATTAACATACTTTAAATTTATCTTGCAAATTGAAATGTTTTATAGAGCAAATTACTTGCATTTTAAACATTTCCCTTGGAAGTAATGCCACAGAACACAGACCAGGACATCACTTACATTACTGGGAGGCCGTCCGAAGCAAAGTTTATGCTTATCAATATGAGGCTGCCAAGCTAAAACCTTTTTCCCCATTGGTTATCAGCTTATCAGTCTGTCGAGCTATACGGCCAGCGCATTGCTACGTCAACTTACTGACGCCTTGGGTTGAGTAATCGTAATCTTCTCCATATAATATATTTATTAACCTAAATTAATATAACCCTCAAATATAATTAATTTGATAGTGCCACATATGGTTGCCTAGCAATTAACATATACATATAATAAAATTTGAGTTTGAGATGTAGCGTACAAAAAGTGTTATCAGATTGTGGAGAAAGATATAGTCGCTTACAAGTTTAACTTCTATTACAATGCATTAATATTCTTGTAATAAAAGGAACGACGAGCCCACTCTGAGTGGTCACCTCAAACTAGCATGTGGGTTTCTCTTTGTTGTTTGCTCATGCTTGAAAGAGGACATCATCGCAACAGCTCCTCCACCATCCTTAACCCATTGATTGCCTCCTGTGAATAGAAACACATTACCCCCATGCTGTCATACATTTGAAGGTGGCCACCCAACAGTGTCTAAGGCATCTCGCTAAAGAATTCTTAGGCACCCATCGTGGACTTCGACATGATGTAGTAGAAATATACCAGAAAATAAATAATATTATAGATTTTTTTTAAAGTCTAGAAATATCAACCTTTCTACAAAACTTACAAAGGTAAGGGACCTTTCAATTTTATTAGTGAACTTCATATACATATTAATTTTCAGACCAAGCTTCGATTCTGTAAAAACTTGACAGTTATCTCTCTTCTGTCTGTTTTGGTCAATAAATTATCAAAATATTGAGTGAGAAATCACTTATTAATTTCTTTTGTTTAAAATTTGTCTTTTACGGCCCATCCAATAAGCGCAGTAGTTCACCTTGAAGCGGTACCTATCCTTTGATCCATGTATTAGGTGTGTGCAATGCTGTCACTACTTCAAAGGATATGTGGTCTTAAAATCATTTTTTACCACTTACTCATGGTCAAGCCTCTAATGGATTAAATATTGGTTACAATCCAAACCAGGAAAATAATCCAATAAATTTCTGTTCAACTATATGCTATAAACAACTTACATATATATATATATATATATATATATATAATTATGTGTGTGTGTGTCTGTGTATATGTATATTAGATTGTAGATATCATTCGAATTAGCAGCAGTATGCTAAATTATGATTTTAGCATAGAAATAAGAAGTTCCTTGCTAATTAGGACAAGAATGTATATTGTGCTTAAGAGATGACGGGTATATATTTCGCATATTATATAAATACTCAGTAGATGTAGCTATGATGTAAACCTAATCAAATGAAATATCGGCCTCGAGCACAGGCTCAGAGTAGCCAGCCTCTCGGTATTCTATAGGATGCATTTCAGAGAGTGTGCGCAGGAATTGCGCGCTTTAATTCCACCCTCTCCTTCCCACCATCGAACACCCAGCGGCTTTGTTGTCGATTTTCCACACATTTGAAACAAACGGTTTACTTCGACTTTTTTAATGCGTTACAGCAAAGGAGGGGAATAATTTGCCGGCGTCTATCTTTCTGTCCGAATACAATCTGGGCGTCTTCAAGGCAAGAGTGAATAGGCTTTTGTTACGCTAAGACGTGAGATTTACCATCTACGGCTGCATCACCACTTACCACCAGGTGGGATTGTGGTCAAGTACTGGCTTATAAAATGAAAAAAAAATATCATCGGCCCACAGTAGTCCACTATTGAACAAGGCCCGCATATCTTGGGCATATATTATATAATACGCTTTTATTAGCTTGTTCTGTATGTACTACTTGCTTATTCCGAGAATGCCGTTACCTCCCGCCGCGCTCCTCCACTCCGCCCCTCGAGTGTCGCCATTATAGTACGGATAGCAGCGCCTTCGTAATGTATTACGGAAATATTAAAGTAAATAAAACATAAAAATAAGTTACACTTACTAAATAAATTATCAAGAGCAAAAAGTAGATAAAATATCTACTTGTTTGCTCTCAATTTCAGTGTACAGTACAACAAACTACTTACTTAGTTTTGCTCAATTTGACAAAAACAGACACAAAACAAAAACAGTCATCATGTTTATGTGATATAATAGATAAATATGATGACTTTTTTGTCTACGGTACTGTCAGCTGTGATATCATAATGGTCGACGACGGCAAACTTGAAATGAACGCGTGGTATGTATGTATAAATGTAATGAAATTTTATAAATCATTTTACACCCACTTTCAGAAGTCTGAATGATCTTAAATATTATAGCGGTACAAGGGGTAACTAATAAGTTTTGAGCCTAATGCAGGGATGGCGAACCAATGGCAAAGTATCTTGGGCTGAAGTATTATATTACGAACGAACGCAAGTGATCCTAGTTACATCGTGAACTACTATTGTTAGTGACGCATACGTAGTTCGTTTCATCATCATCGTTATTACAGCCCTTCACAAGTCCACGCCTCCCCCAAGAAATGCATAGTTCAATTACGCATAGCACAGTAGTCCAAATCGTTGACATAACTGTATTTAAAGGTTCATTTGTATTATGTTATGATTTTACAACCCCAATTTAAGATATTTATCATCTAATCTCCAACACCAGAAGTCACACTAATGTTACTTTAATTTGAATAACGCGTATAACTGTAACATTATTATTGGGGGTTATTGACAGAGTTTTCACATCTGGTTGGGCGGGATAAATATATAAAAGGAAATGATAAATATACATAAATATATATTTCATATATTAACATAAATAAATAATACATAAATAAATAAAAGCCCAAGCAGATGGAAGCCCTCGGCAAGGGAGGCCAAACGGCCGAGGATTAGGGGGAAAGGGAAAGAAACCGGACGATGCGGGCGGTATCGAGGAGCACCGCCTTCTGCATTTGAACCCAGAGCGGTCCGTCACGGAGTCCCAGTCGCCTCAGATGACCCGAGAGGCTGACAGGGATTAGTCCATTCGCAGAGACGACTACAGGAATAATTTCAGTCGGCAGACCACCCCACATGTCGGTCACCTCATGAGCCAGGTCCAGATATTTTGATTGCTTATATGTTTCGGCTTTCACGAGGTTCTCGTCATACGGAATGGTAATATCGACCAAAAATATCCTTGACTTTTTTCCTTGAATTGCCCGGTCCATCAGCACAATATCAGGCTTATTCGCAAGAATAGTCCCGTCTGTGATGATGGCCCGGTCCCAGTAGAGCCTAGCGCGGTCATTTTCGAGCACGGCTTCCGGCAAGTACTTGTAATATAGCAATTTCTGTGTTCCGTGACGGAAATAGACGGCTCCAGCTCAGCAAAAAAGCAATGCATCCGAGCCCGATACGCTACCCCTGCAGTTTCTTCCCTTTTCGCCCTATAATACGCCCGCAATGCGTTTGCGTTCATATTTTTAGTTTAACGCATGCGGCGCACTCCACCAGCGGCGGATGCCGCTTGCCGAGTCCGAGAGGACCCTGCCGCCATCAATTCATCTGGTGGGGACATTTATTATTATTATAATAAATGTCTCAATTCAAAACTCTTTATTTATTTTTTGTAGTAAATAAAGAGTTTTGAGTCGATAGTATTTAGTACTATTATTTTCCCAATAATCACGAAGTCAAAATTATTTTATAGTATGTCTATTGCCTAATTAAACATTTCTTTAGAAAAATGACACGTTGATACATAAAGGTTCGCGACCCCTGGCATAGGGTATTTAAAATGCTGATAGGAAAGTATACAAAATTTATTTTTCTATGTGATCTCCCTCTACTTCAATGCACTTCTTACATTTGTGATAAAGGGCTTTTAACCCAGTTAAAAAATATTCGCCATCTTTGTCTTCGAAATGCTCGTCTACCGCTGCCTTCATTTATTCGTCACTCAAAAATCTTCGTCTGCGGAGGTCTTTCTTCAAATTTGTAAAATAAGTAAAAATCGCTGGGGCCTAGGTCTGAACTATTGCTGGGTGATTGATTTCTTCAAATCCAATTTTGTTCAGACCACAGTGTGCACGGGCGCAATGTCCTTCAAAAACAGGACACCTTTTGCCAATTGACAACCATTCGACTTTTTTTATAGAAGAGGGGGCAAACGAGCATGCGGCTCACCTGATGGTGACTACCACCGCCCATGAACAAACGCAACACCAGGGGAATTGCAGATGCGTTGCCGACCTTTTAAAAATCAGTAAGCTCTTTTCTTGAAGGCCCCTAAGTCGTATCAATTATGGTAAGGCCCGATCGAAGGCCTTCGCTATGTCCAAACTAACGGCCAATGCCTCCCCCTTGGACTCTACTGCCTCCACCCATCTATGAGTAAGATAGACCAGAAGATCACCAGAAACCCTATTGGCGGTCACTGATCAGCTGGTGATCCTCAAGGTACCTCATGAGCTGGCAATTTACAATAGATTCCATTATTTTGGAGAACAAAGAGGTGACGGCGATAGGCCTGTAGTTGGACGGGTCTGAGCGGTCGCCTTTTTTAGGGATCGGGTGAACCAAAGCTGTCTTCTGCTGTCTTTCAAAGAATTCGGGACTACGCCTTGGGAGTAGGAGTACCGGAAAAGATGCGTTAAAACCGGTGCCAACTCTGGAGTACACGTCTTCAGCACAATGGTAGGGACTCCATCAGGCCCACTCGACTTACTGACGTCCGGGGAGAAGAGTGCTTTGCGAACCGAGCGCTGTGAAAACTGCACCTCCGGTATGGAAAACTCACATCGCGGGATAGTCGGCGTCGTGTTCCCCCCGTCATCGAGAGTCGAGTTGGACGCAAAGAGAGAGCCTAGCAGCTCGGCTTTCTCTTTTGCGGTGTGGGCCACTGAGCCGTCCTCTCTGTGCAGAGATGGAAGAGATGACTGACAGAAGTTCCCTTCGACAACTTTGGCGAGAGACCAGAATGCACGGCTTCTCGACGGAAGGTGAACTAGCTTCTCGCCAATTCTGCCGATGTGCTCAGATCTTGCCTTGGCAATGAGTCTTTTGAAGGACCTGGAGGCGGACTTGACGAACTTTTGTAAACAATGCAGCGTAAAAGTCTCAGATCCATAAATCATCACTGGCAAATTGCATTGGTTGTACAATCTTTTTTTTCAAGTTTGAGGTATACCTAACAAGAAGATGTGTTGCAATCTCCCCTTAAGTTATACCTCCATGACGAGAATAGGCCCATGTCGGTGACGATTACAAGTTAATCATAATGTGTTTTTCAGGTATCCCGAAGCAGCAGCTAAATACAGAGTCCAGGATGGTCCCACCAGCAGGCAGTTGCCCACAGTACTTCTTCTTAGTGAGGGTCAGGAGAAGATGAGGAGGCCACAACCTGATCACAGTGGCAAGCTTCAAAAGTTAGTATCTAGTGGCCTAATTTTCCTGCATCTATGTTTGCATGTAATCTAGAATTTAATTTAGTTTAGTAATTTTGGGTCTTCTCAAATGGATGAACTCGTATAGGTTACGCTCTTAGCTCACTGATCAATTAAGTCTAGATCAGTAAGCCAGTGGCAATGGGTCGGTCGGAAGAACCGACAACCGATGGAGAAGAAAGTTTTATAGGTGTAAGAGTCATACTGCAGTTATATTAGTAGTATAGTTGTAGTACGAATAGGTTAGCTCGACTGGGGAAGGACCACGCTCTTACAGAATATCAGCGTAAGATATCAGCAGCGAAATTCTGCTGTGTTTCGTATGGTGAGTGTAGTGAACTGGAGATCCTTTTTACTGGAAACGAGGCATTTCATCTTAGCCCTCACGGGTGACAACGCATCTGCGTTTTGAGTCGTAATCGAGGATGGATGTCAATGTTTATGGGCCACAACAAGCACTTACTGATGGTAAGTGCTTGTTGTGGTGGACTTTGAGCTCGTTTGTCACCCCACCCTATAAAAAAAATTCTCAAGTAGTGGCCCTCTAGATGGAGTAATGATCTGGTAAAAGATGCAAGAAGTCGATGGATGCAGATTGCTCCGGACCATACTTTATGCAATTCCTTGAGGGAGGCCTCTGTTCAGCCTCTGACTTGTGAAGGCTTGTAAAGATGATAATGATCATGTTGTTACTGAGATCACCGTTACCATTACAGCTTATTAAAGTCCACTGCTGAACATAAGCCTCCCCCATAGGTTGCCTTATATGATAGGGGGGATTTTTGCCATAGTTGCCATGCTTGGCAAACGGGTTTGCAACCGCAGTTTTTTTTAATAGCATTTGGTGACAAACGAGCACACAGTCCACCTGATGGTAAGTGCTTGGCCCATAAACATTCACATCTATCCTTGATTACGAATCAAAACGCAGATGCGTTGTCACCCGTGAGGGCTAAGATGAAATGCCTCGTTTGCAGTAAAAAGGATCTCCGGTTCTCTACACTCACCATACAAAACACAGCAGCATTAAGCTACTATTTTACGCTGATATTCTGTGAGAGCGTGGTCTTGTCTGAAGATATTCTGTTTTTCCAGCATTTCCTTTTTTTTAATATTATCTTTTAGTAAGAATCCGTGTTTGTCACAGATATTCAAGATAAATAGTAGTTTAGTTAAAAAAAAACAGGGACGGGAGTTTTTTCAGCCAGAATATATTTACTATTATTTGTAACTATTCACTCAAGTTTGACACTGACTGTTTTGACGATTGACGGACGGATTCAGTGTTGCAAGTACTAAAGTAAAATAATCATATCCTATTATGTCATAGTACATGTTTAAGCTGTTGCTGTATTAAATAAATAAATAAAATTCTATCCGTCAGTGTATTTTGATTACTTTGATCTATTGTTCATTAAAGAAGGTTTATAGATAACATTTATATGTTAAAAAGTATTTTTATGAGGTTAGTTATTTTTTCCCTACTCTGATTTTTAAATATTATATGGTTTTTTAATGCTATAGAGTAACTTCTAACAAAAGAAATCACTTTAAATAGGTACTTTTAAACTTGGTTATTTTTCAACACCTGCTATGAAATGTTAATAGTTACTCAAAATTCTTTGTTTGTTTTATATAAATTAATAGCAATAGTTTTGTGTTTGTACAGCTTGGGGTACATTTTGGCCATGTCATTTCAATATGTAAACTTAAACAATGTAGTGGCGGTGTAAGAATATCCGCTAGCCTTCATCGTACCGTGGTTATCGTAAAATGTGACAGAGGGAAATTCCTTATAAGAACACAAAATAGTAAAAAAAATTGTTACCAAACAGCAAAATTCTCCCTATGAGGGATACTAATCAATGTGGGAGGCCTATGTTCAGCCAGGTCAGTTATGAAATTTATAGTCTAACTATGGATGGATGCAAACATAACCCCGTCAAATTTTCTACAATTAAACAAATCAATTCCAGGTTCCTATTCTCGAAAGACAACTTGAAGGCAGCTTTCGACTTGGACGGTCTTTATCAAGAGTGCAAAGACAAGCTTGCGGCGGCGAAAACTAACAAGAAGACCGAAAAGACCGAGTAGACCAAAGAGAAAATCGATAGTTACTAAGTTTTAAGCGCAAAATGCTATAAAAGTGTAAAACAGAAATTGCAACATTAAGTTAACATTAATTAATTAGTCATTAACCGAAATTGATTAATTTTAATGACCATATCAATATAATTTTGTGCATTTGTGAGATATGCTATTACCACCACAAACATTGTGTTGGCGCGTTCTTTAAATTACCAATTTTTTTAATATATTTTTAACAAATTGTGGCACTGGCTACAAAGCCTTTAGTCTATAAAAACCTTAAAATAAAAAAGTCACAATATATTGATGCGTCACACTGCAATGTTTTTGGGAGATTTTGACGGCAAGTCAGCAGACAGTCAATGGCGGCAGCATCTCAAGTTTTTAATGCGCCTGTGCGAACACAACAACTAGAGGTTTATATCAACATCCGTCATCATACTTGTTTCGGCATTTCCACTGTAAAAGTTCCGATGCGCAGACAATACACGAATCGCATCACTTTTACGTATCAACATTAACTTTAAACCATTATTTAAACGATAAAACAGGAGCAACAATCCGACGACGTTCAAATTCCCGCTAAAACTGCTAATAAGTCTTTTATATTATTTAATACCAACTAGAAGAGTTATATTGTTTAATTATGAATGATGAAGTTTAATGATATAAATATAGTAAGGCATGCTGCGCACTAGGCAGCCTGGCTGCGGCAGCCGTTTCACAGCCAATGGACAGCCAGTTGTGATCCTTTTTTCGAGGGATATGGACGTGGAAGAACTTGTAATTTTGTGCGTATCTCGTAAAAAACGCAAAGTTAAAAGACATTGGATTCATCCTCTTTTTCTATAAGGGCACTCAAAAGGCTTATTTTATACCTATTTTAAAGATATTCGTAAATACCCAGACCGGTTTTTTAACTACACGAGAATGTCAGTGCAATCTTTTGATAACCTTTTGGAAAATATAATAAATTCAATCAAGGGCACTGATACTCCTATGCGAGCTTGTATAACTCCAGAAGGAAAAATTGGTGATTACATTGAGGTAAGTGCTAAAATAAAAAATACTGTTAATTGTTTATAACATTTATTCTTTATTTCTTACATTTATGGTAAAGAACTTTCCTGAAATAGTTCAAGTAATTCAGTATTCTGAGACGTATCTGTTACATTTGTGTCAGATGGAAATAACACTTCAGTATATCCGGTATTGTCTTGCTTGTCTGGAACAGACGTAGAATATGCACGGCGGCTTTCACTGCTCGAGGCTTCTGGCCCATAATTTGACTGTGTCTAGTATCCATGGCGATATTGCTCACTGCTCGAGATTTCCGGCCTATATTCAGTTGAGTATTCATGGCGATATTGCCTACTGCTCGAGTTTCCCGATCCATATTCAGTCGAGTATTCATGGCGGTACTGTCCACTAACCGATGTTTCTAGTCTAAATAATCTGGCGGTTGATGTCCCTGGTTCATAATCAACATGACCTTGGCGAAACACACCAAATTCGGAATTGTAAGTTTCCATAAAAGGCATTTGAGCTCTTTTTATTAGGTCAATTAACTCCATTCTCGTAGAAAGTTTACGATGTTTCGGAATGTTTTTAAAATCTTCTAGAAGCGAAACCATAAATAGTCTATCTGAATCAGATACTTGCTTTCTTTCACGCTCTTCTCTTATTGCGATACTTTCCTTTAATACTTGAACCAAATTTTCGTCGTCACATGTCTTCTTCTTTTTGGAAACGGGTCGTTTACCTTGAATACAATCGCTGTCATCGTTGGTTTCCGCAGGGCGTGTTTCACCCATGCTATTTTGAGTTTCATTATTTATTACAGTGGCCTTAAGAAACTGTAGTTGTTCGAAGTATACGTAAGGACTTACGCGAAGCTGCTACTCCACTTTTAGCACCGGCTCTGCGTTTTATTCCCCTGCTGTAACTAGTCCTGATGTTCTTCCACTTTTGCTGTAGAGATTTACCTGAAAATTATTATAAGTACTTTATTACAGATATCTTGCTACAGGCTGTTCTATGATGGAAATCAGCCATAATTTTTGGATTGGACATACCAATGTCCGAGATGTCATATATGAAATTTGCATGGCGATTTGGGAGAACATGAGACAGTCAACGTTTCCAGAATTAAATGAAGAAAGGTGGCTTGAAATAGCAAAAGGTTTCAATGAAAATGCAAACTATCCCAATTGTATTGGTGCCATCGACGGGAAGCATATAAGAGTAATTAAACCCAGCAACTCAGGATCACTTTATTATAATTATAAGAATTATTTCTCAATCGTTTTACTTGCTGCATGCGATGTGGATTATAAGTTCACATATATAGATATTGGGTCATATGGAAAATGTAGTGACTCATCTATATTTAAACAATCTATTTTGTATCAAAAAGTCGTCAATAACGATATACGAATCCCGGAGAAGAGCCCCATATCAAATAATGGTGTACCGATGCCAGACGTCATTGTGGGAGATGAGGCATTTGGTTTATCTGAAAATTTAATGCGACCTTATGGAGGAAGGGGTTTAGCCAAAAAAAAGAATCTTTAACTATAGACTGTCTCGGGCAAGGCGGCACATAGAATGCACGTTTGGGATGATGGATGGAGAATTTTTCACCGTCCGCTGGATGTCCGACAAGAATTTGCAATTGCCATAGTACAAGCATGCTGTGTCTTACATAATTACGTGCGCGAAAGAGATGGTTATAGATTTAAAGACACACTGTACATTCCTCCAGACCTCGAAATAACCCCAGGTCCCTTAAATAGAGGGAGCCGCACATCAGCATCTTATAGAGATTTATTTGCGGTTTATTTTATCAATGAATGTATAAACAATAAACTAAAAATATATTCATAGAATAATAAAATACTAATAAAAAACATAACGTACCAAATTGACTTTTTTTATTTGCTGTTAAATTGTCCTCGCATATTATATTTGTGATTTCTTTCCATTTTCTTTTCTTTACATCACGATCACTGTATTCTTCTGAAGATATATCCCATATTGCTTTACGGTTTTCAATTTCGCGAATAAATTTCTCCGTATCGAAAGTCATTTTGTGATTTCAGAAAACAAAATACGTCTGGCTGCTATGACAAGTGCGGGGTGACTGACGGTAGACATGCGTCAATCACGCATGATTCGTTCGTTTGAGCTGGTACACTTAAAAGTATTGATGGTTCATTCATTTGTTTTTGAATGTACCAGTACAACCAATCACAAACAATTGACGGTACGTTTTTAACCCGCGATTTGTTTGAATTGTGAATGAGCCGCAAACCGACCGAATCCCGAATGATCTGAATGAACAGGCGAATCGAATTGACAATGCAGACTGCAGAGCACAGAGTAGAGTAATATATACACAGAACACCATTACTCCTAGCGGAGAATATATACGGAAACTGCAGAGTATCAGGAGTATTTATTATTTTAGGGTTTTTTTTATTATAATATTGTTACCTAAATTAAAAATCATTTTACATTTAAATCTATGAGTTAAAAATATCATTTTGTAGAGTTTACTAAAAATAACACTTCAAAAGATTTTATGATAAATGACTTATTTAATGATAATTTTCAACCATCTTATATAAGTATAAGTTAGGTAAAAGTTTAATTTCATAGCAAATAAATGTTTCAATCCCTATTTTTAGACATGTAAAGTAAGATGAAATTGTGTATGTTCAGACTCACAGAGTGTTAGGAATGAAATTTAACATTAAGCATATTTATTAAATATTTAAAATATATGATAACTTGAGGTTTTTGTGTTTATGCCATCTAGCGTCGATTGTTCTTACCACCTTGAAATTTAATAAGTTTTAATTCGATAAAATGACTTTATTACCTATAACATGTAGTAGATGGCGCTATTACAAATCTCAAATTTTCGGTTCCCAATAGATCTCACAGACTCACAGAGTACTGGAGCCTGAAATGATCCATTTGAATGATTGATCCGAATGTACCAGTACGCGTGACGAAATGTACTAGAATGATTCGGTCGCTAGAAATGAGTGATTTACACATGTCTAACTGACGGCAGCCACATACATTCGCCCTACTCGCTGGCTGCGCGCAGCCAACGGGCTGCCGTGCAATCGGGTGCGTTTTTATGGCTGCCGCAACCGGGAGTTCGTGGCTGCTTAGTGCGCGGGCTCCCATACGCCGTCATATGTTCCGCAGCCAGACTGCCTAGTGCGCGGCATGCCTAAGTTAATTTTACTATATATTCGTACGAGTGCCAGCAATAAGTTGACAAAGTTTTACCGCGATCTGATGAACGGTATGGCAACGCATAAAATACTGTTACGTGCTTAGGGTTCGTGACAATAAAAACTGCCGATTGAATTACCAAAATTGACACTTTAATTGCCGAACACAAATTAAAACTAATACACACTAATAATTAATCGCACTGATCACTTTAGTTCACTTTATTTCGCTCCTAAGTCTTTACTTGTATCGCCAATTCAATACTGCCCCGGTCGCAGCTCTAAACGGCTTTATAAAGGCTTTTCCACCGAAACATCTAGAATGTTCCAGCAAATACCGGTCCCGACCGACTAGATGTAGAAAATTCGAGTGTGGAGTTATCTAGAAAGCTTAGTTCTTATATTCGATAGTAGATGGCGCTAGTGCCATGTACCAGAGATCAACTGTGGCGCGCAACAATACGAACAAATCAACGTTAATTTTTATATATTAGATATGTATAAATATGTAATGACATCTAAGTTAGCTGTCTCACCCGTGTCATCATTTAGTACACAAAATAGCACCAATAATTCGCATTTAAATCTTCACCAAACCAATTTGAATGATATTAGGGGAGCTGAATGCCGTCGGCTTAAGAAAGCTTGACAGTGCTCACCAAAGTTTACAATTTTTGATGTATTTTAAGTGCCATTTATATTAGATCTGATTATTGTAGACTATATTGTAGTTTGACTGACGTAAATAAAAAAATC